GCTTGTGCACTTTGCTGTTGTTTGACTTAACCACCCCATCGCCCAGCTGTAGCTGAAGCAGGACTGCAGTTACCATTGTGTATTCCTCTCTGGCACCATCTAGTGACTCCAGAACTAGGCTTCCAACCACTACTCTTTTCCCATTTCTAAGCAAGATGTGCTTTCCTTTGGCAATAGCTTAAAATTCAGATCAGTGCAGATGTCGCTCTCATGAAATAAACTCACCTTCAAGCAATGGCTGCAAAGTCTTTTGGGAGAAAGCTTTGTAGTATGGCTCTTGTACTAACAGTTTAGATTCGTAATTCAAGGTGCAAAACTGCCAAAGCACATAAAAAATAATGTGAAGATCTTGGTTATAGATATTTTGTTACAGTAAGAGTCGGGAATGGGTATGTGTGTGTGTCTGTTTTAAGACTGTCATACTCTTGAGCATCTTTTCTAGTCCTAATAAAATAGCTGAGAATGAAATGAGCATACTTAAATTATAGAATGATTCAGGGCATCATGTTGTTAATAATGTAGAGAAATGAGATATAAAAGCTTTTACTCAAGCATACCCTAAAGCGAATTTAAGTAGAGCACACAGCTATGATGCTGATTGTTTTTACAGGTGTTGGCACCATATGAATTAAATGAAGAAAAAAATGGTGAAACATTTATGACTCATTAGAATTATGTGGTTTTCTGTCCTGTCCTAACAACTGAAAAAAGGTGTAATTTACATTTGCAGCCAAATGGCGTGAAGTAACATTATACTTTACCGACATGAAAGGAGGAGACTTCCAGATGACTACTATTCTGAACTTCTCTAGTTCTCAAATGCTGGATTTTCAGTTTCTCATGTGGAGTTTTGAGAGCTAACATTATTTCCCCATTAAAAAAAAGGTCAAAAAGGAATATGGTAACTTTAGAACCTATAGAACATGTGGTTTCAAGGAACCAAGGGCCATTCACTAGGTGCAACACCTTTACAATCAGAATGTTTTTCCTTTTCATCAAAGAATACACTTGATAGATCCAAAGAGAGCCACATCCATGTATTTTTTTTAAATAAACTCTGCACCCTCGTTTTCCTCTTTCCTTTAATTTTTTCTATTAGAATTGTTCTGTTGTAGATCCTAAATATTTACATGAAGGAGGTATTTTGACAGGCTGATCTATAACAGGAAAGCAACAAATAAACAAATTCATGTCTACAGTATTTTAGATCCTGGTTTCCTGAGCTGCTAAGTGTTTATTTTTCCTATTGTAAAAACCTTCGTTGAAATACATTCAAAATGGAGTTCACATGGCAGCTTTCAGGCAATATCTAATGTTCTAACATAGCCATAATACAAACTTCAGCTTCCCATACACTGTGTAGTTGGCTGAAAAAGAAAGCAGCTGATTTATCAGAACCTCCGTGCTGTAGATGAGTCTTCAGAAAAAGAACATGTTGTACTTTGCAATTGAGACTTTTTTGCAAACACCTAATAAACCAGAAAAGGAAAGTTTTACTGGGCTTTGTGAGCACATTTTTCTCTTCTCACTGGAGCACCAAACCCAGTTTGTAATCCTACTTTCATTTATTTCATTCTCCCCTGAAATTTCTCATAGCACAAACTCGCTCAATTCTGGCTGGCTAATTTGCATCTCATGGCCTGCAGTATCTCTTTAGGAGGTGAACTATTAAAAATACATTAGCCTGGTGTGGATAGTAATGGGCCAAATGCTGCTGGTTTTGAAGGCAATCTGGGAAGCCTCATGCTCTTTCTGATTCTTGATAGCTATGCAAGGAAGTTGTTTGCTTTTTCTGTCCTTGGACTTTAAAAGTTCTAGCAGCAGATGTAGGTGAGATTATTGTTCTTCTGAAAGTCTGGGAAGTTCTTTTCCAAGCTTGCTCTAATCTTTAATGTTACCCTTATTTCTGTTCTGCCAGAACTGTGTCCTATCAGCATCCAAAAATGTTACACATAACTTTGGCTTGCTTACAGAAGATGATCCCACCACTAACATTTGCCTTCTGTAGCTGAGTGCTGAAAGAAAAAAATAATCCACATTTGAAATGTGAGACTTTGCTGCTGTCAGTTTCTGGAGTTGATTATTAGGACCGTGATTTTTATCTACTCACTTGTACAGTAATTAAAAGCAATTCCCTCATCAGTTATCATCCTGTGAAGCCAGCTTTTAGGCAGTGCTTGATGTACGGTTTATTAACCTAAGCCTACGTTGAAGGAAAGGTGACATAGTTTAAAAAGTAAGAATGAACACATCTGCTCTGAAACAAAGAGGTGAATGTAAAATAGATACTTACTGTTAAACCAGCAAAAATGGCAATGTGATTTTAATTGGCAAAGTAGGAGTAATTACTTGGCTTGGGCCAGGTGTACACCTCCATTCTGTCCACTCCCATCTGTGTCCTTTTTTACGTGGATTATTTTCTATGTGGATATATCCTGTCATGATGGAGTAGGTGGTTAAATAATTAAGAAGGAAATCAGGGAATCAATAACAGTTGCATGCTGAAGAGGAAGAGCTATTCAGCTGCCTGACAACCTTTGCCACGCCTTCTAGCAGGTATTGATGAGTACAAATGCGTATCTGTGTCAGCTTCAAATCCAAGATATTTGATGTTAACTGGATACTATGCCTCTAGCTGCCAACATTGTAACTGAGGACATCTTTATTGCAGGAAAGAAATGTAAAATAATAGGCAAGAATAAGCATGATATTTACCTGTGATAACTTTTCTGAATGGGTGCTGGAGACAAAATATGAGGCTGAATGAAGGCAAACTGAGTGAACTCAACTGTGGATCTATGACATTGGACTTCTCTTAACTGCTGAAAGTGCTATGGAATCTTGTGATAATACTCAAATATTAGAAAGAAAAGCCATTGAGAGAAGAAAATTGAAAGTGGAACACAAGTCCCTAAAACATTATATGCACCTAAAGCACCAGCATGGGGGTGCCTGAGAAAGGGATGTAGAAACAGCTCTGATGTAATGATGCAGACTGCACTGTTTACTGATGAAGTTGTGGTTTATCCAGGGAGGGGAAACAAAGAGGTGAAAATCTACTACTGATTCTGCTTCTTTAAATGCATTCATTCAAGGCAGTCTGACAACAACATGGTGCGTGACAGACAGGAAAGCAATGTGCAACCCATGGTCAGCCAGAGAGAAAGCAGTAAGTGCCACAGAATGTTGTGCCCACCCCCAGGAAATGAATGAAGAACTGCATGGATTTTGTTTTAAATGGAGCTGAACAGTAATCCCAGGAGATTTAAGAGCTGAGATCATGCAGTGGATACATATTTCACACCTGGAGATAGAGACATGCCTGAGATGAGCCAGGAAATGTATCTACAGGCCAGGCATGAATACCCAGTTGAAAGCATATATGGAACAGTGCAAGCTGTACAAAGAATATAGTGATTGACAAGAAACGCCTCATGGAATTCCAGCCCAGCCCTAGGAAAAGGTCAGAACAGACTTGTCAATTTCTAATGAAAGAAACTTAATGGCACAGTAGATAAATATCCCAGTTTTTGGAAGATGCACAGGCAAGAACAATGATCAGAAAACTGAAGGTACGGGTTTTGAAATGTGTGGGACCGAGTGAGAGGCTCCTGATACTCTTCATTTAAGCATTTGTAAAATTTGCTAACTTTAAAAACCTCTGCATAAGATTTATGTTTCTGAAAATACACAACACAATAGGAAGATGGCATCAGCCTTGACAGCAGCCAGGAAACTGATGGCAGTGTTAGATGGATAGGAAGGGTGTTTGGCCTGGTTATTTTGAACCTTTTAAATGCTAAATGTTCCCATGGTTTAAATAGATACTTCTAAGGAAACTAAGCAAGTGCAAAGGACCGAAACCCCAGAGGTTACTCTCTGCAGGAAGGCATGTATGAAATTAGTCATTATTATGAAAAGTAACAACAAAAAAATTATTACTGGGTGCAGGATGTGAAATGAGAAGAATAAGCAGGAAAAATGAAACCCAAGACACCTTACTGTGACTTGAATCAAAGATAGCACCGGGGGATCATAGTCTGTTAGGCTAATGTAAGCAAGACAAAAAGTATGTGAAGCGTGTGAACAACACAGAGGATCAATATGGCCGATTCTTTTGAGTGCCCTCAATAGTAATAGAAAACAGGGAAAGTGAACGGTACAGAGAGAACTTGGTGGCTTCATCATTGTCATTTGGTGGTGTTTTAGCTACTGCAGATTAGCCTGCCTGGCATCTGTTTGCTACCCTGGTGGAGTGTCAGTCGACTTTAGGTCCTGCGTCATCTCTGCTATTCCTGTGCAGATGTCCTGGATGCCTGACGAGCTCTCAAATGGCACCAGGCACCTGTGTGTCGGGCAGGAATCCTGGCCTTTGCTTTATGAAGCAACACGTTCTTGAAGGGCTACAACAGTGTGGTAATGGCCACAGCCAAGTATAGCAGCAATGAGCAAGCTGGACAAATCTTTAAACAGGTAAGCCTGTGCAATAATTATGTTCTGCTTGGGTCTTCTAAGGCTGGCTGTGGGCTGAGCTCTACAGCTTCCTGCCTTGGCCGAGAACGGATCACCTGTGGGGAGCTGTGTTTCCCAGAGCAGATGGGAGCTGTCGGTTCATAGTCGGAAATGATGAAAAGGGATACAACATGTAACAGCTCCCTTTGGGCGGGAGAGATCGGGGAGGGGGATAGGTGGATCTCTCCAGCCAAAGAGAGGATATCACAGATAAAGATGCTTAAGGAAGATGCTTTAACAGGCAGTCAGGTGTCTATGTAAAACACCCAGAGGAGAAAGCAATTAAAAGACCTCTAGTTGATTAAAAAAAAAAAAGTTGAAGAAAATGCAGTTAGTCTGAGAATAAACTTAATCACCAAGGTGCCCTTGAAGTTTATCAGACCACCAAGAGGTGCAATATCCTAGACAGGCAATGAGTTCTCAGAAATACCCTTCATCTAATCTTTTTTTTATTATTTTTCCCTACCCTAGGACGATTGACGTGTTTTGGTTTGGTTTGGTTGAAAGACTGAACTAGCTTGCCAGAGGGAATTCAGAGGAAACCAGAACATTTTCCCAAAGAGAAGGTAAAGCCCAGCCACACCTTACAACATCAAATCTTTAATCGTGTACCTGCCTGTATAGCACCAGCAATATTCAGTGTTTCTGTAACATCATTCATACAAGAATTTCAAAGCACTTCATAAGCACTAATTAATCAAACCTCACAAACACTCAGCAAGCAGCAACTTTGCCCACCAATGAAGTGTAATCACTTCTAAAATGGAACGTGATGGAAGTTTGATATCTCATAACATGATGCAACAGGTCAAGGCAAGTAGAACAGGAGCAACTGAGGGCACTTGGGAAGTACCCATCCTTAAACAGCTTTGCAGATACAGTGCTTCACTGGATATGCTTTGTGGAAATATTTGGTAAAAATATTTTTGTGAAAAAGCAGTTTTTGTATTGCACACAAAAGAACATCCATCTCTCTAGCTGGTGGCACCTGCAGTCCTAGAGATCATGAAATAAACCACTCTGATGTGGTTCTTGACCCCCAGGTGCTGCCACCTGAGATTCCCCAGGGAGAGAAGGAAGCGGTGTCAGAGCCTGCAGGGTTCTTCACCCAGACGGCGGTTGGGTGCTGGAACAGGCTCCCCAGGGAAGTGGTCACAGCACCAAACCTGCCAGAGATGGATGGTACTTTCAGGCACATGGTGTGACTCTTGGGGAGTTCTGTGCAGGACTAAGGGTTGAACTTGATGATCCTTATGTGTCCATTCCAACTCAGCATATTCTGTGATTCCTCTGCATTTTAAGGGACCACCTGGCACCTTTAGTACCTTACCACTCCTTGATGGGTCTCTCAAAGCTGTGATCCCCACCTATAAAACCTGCTCCAGTACAGAAGCCACAGGGCCTAAATTAGTGCCTTCTCTTGGCCCAGTCAAAGCTGTCAACATTCCAGTTGACTACGATGAGAGAAAGATTGGGCTGGCTCAGTTTCTTTATATCTCTTTATATTTCTGCCAATCCGATCTTGAAGGGCGGACTAATTCAGATGTGTATATGCTGCTAATACTCTGAACATGTGTCTTCCCAATTAAGCATATGTTGAACAACCTTCATCTTTTCCTGTCTGTAGGCAAAACATCTCTGTGCTTTAGGTCTCCTGTCCCATCACTTCTCATCTCTTTTGGAAGCAAATGGGACAGGGACTTTTCTTTTTTTTTGACATCATGCAGTAACATTATATTGTACTTGTGTAAAACAATGTGCAAACCATTAAGTACAATAATGAAATGCTGGAAGTTAAAACAATAAGCTTGGATGATTTAAACCTTGCTACATTTTAAATGTGCAATATGTTTGCAAGAATGAAATTGGTCTTTGGGGCTGAATAAATAGTACAGATATCCAACCCATTTTGGAAAGAACAAGTAATACCTAGGAACATAATTTAAACCAGTCTTGTAATTAGCTGGTCATTTCACATTACGAGAGTTCTGGTCTTGTAGTTTGGCTTTATAAATGACTCATATAGTCATCTTGTAATTATACATGATCCATTTAAAAAAACCCAACAAAACCCACCAAACTGTTTGGATGAGAATTTTTCCTTTGGTGGAAGAGTGAAGAGTAAATTATTTAGATGGATTATGTAGTACACTCCCCATTAATATGCCTTTTCAAACTTATTTAAAAACCCAAGATCTGGAGGCTGCTTTAACCATACCTTCAGTTTATCATAATTCTTCCTGACTTCACTTCCTGATCATGAAGTAACAAAGTATTTTTAGTCAAAACTCATCTCTCTGTACTTCCACTGTACTTCTGCTAAATAATGAATATTACTGTGAATGCAAAAGTATGGCTTTGTTCCTGATTATGGTATAAACTGTAGAAGCAGAAGGTCTATTACAGAAGTTCAGTCAAACTTTTGCAGGACTGAATTGAGAACCTAGCAGGACTTTACATTTCCTTGGAAATTGTCTTCTGTCTGCAGCACGCAGTATGAAAAGTTTCTGTCTTTCGCACAGGGTCAGCCATGTACCTTGCCAGTACTGAGATGGAAATCAGAACTGTCTTAAGGCTGTTACCAGTTACCATCATCTTCTTATAACCCTTTAGAAATCATTTTGGTCCCCTGGAATCAGGGAGAGTTTTTCCTAGTCACGTTTCCCTTATAACTTCACTTGTGGTAGGTTAGTAAGTGATAAGCTGCAGAGGAAGGCATTGTAAAGATGCCATGTGGGGTTTTTTATTTTTGTTTTTCAAATCAAGCATTCTGCCAACAGAGCATGATGGTACAGGTACTTCATTAAACTGACTTTTTGTACACTTCAGTCTTGCTGATTGCTGGAAAGCAGCTACAGCAGAAAGTTGGGAGCTGGCCCCAAATTTAACTTCTATACAATTAAGTAAGGATTCTTTAGTAGGCTGAATTATATCCTCAATATCAGCATGTCTGCAAATAAAACACCTCAGTGAAATAATTTCTAGGGAGATTCTAGATTGTGAATCATGATGCTGTGTTGTGAAATTTTGGCTGCAGTAGCTGTCATTTAAAAGACTTTCTGAATGCATACATTTCAGTCCTCTAAATAGATCCTTTTTACCAACCTAAAAATTAAGAAATTATTCTTTCTTTTATTTATGTTTTTTATTCTCTTGACTTTACAGCTTCATTGAATGTACACTATTTATAGATTTCATGCAATAAAAAATACACTGTGTGTATCCACATACATATGCTAGAAACTAAAAGTCGGAGGGGTGAGAAATGAAAAATTCATAGCCTTGGATGTTGAGAAAGTCAGACCTGCTGTATCCCCTTGAAGTCACCTAGGTGAGGCTTTTTGACATAATGGAAGCATCAATGAACTGCTCTTGATTAAAAGTTTGACAGGTTGACACTATCCCCCTGAACTGGAAGACTGGGGTTGAAAGAAAATTTTAATACAAACAGAATTTCATTAATACCACAGTTTGCTATAATGGGGGTCTTTTTTTCCCCCCACTGTTATTTCTGCTTAGATGGTGTCATTACCTTTTAAAGGGGAAAGACACTATGGTTAAGCTTTGTCTCAGAAACAATGTCATACTAATGGAATGGGAGCTTTCAAGTGAAATATGAAACAAACTGTCTGGAATTGTTCTGATTCTCCAGGCACAAACAAAACCAGTTTTAATAGGATGGTTCCTTTAAATGCAGGCTCTATTCATAGAGCCAACCCTTTTTTGTAGAGAGAGTGCGGGAATTCATTAAACAATATAAAATAATCAATATAAACAGAATATCAGAATGGCCTTACATCTCCCAAGATCCAAAAATGTAGCATCACCTCACTTTATTACCTTTTGAGAGCTTTTTTTTCTAATGTGGTAACTGTTAGACTCTATCTGCTCTGCTCAGTGTTAGGGCTGTCATGATGAAAGTGCATAAACAATATAAATAATAGTTTTTGGCACATGAAAGGAGCTCTGAGTAGATTGTTCTTTTGGAATCTAACTGTCAGGATTTTTGTTTGACTTTCAGGGATTTTTTTATTATTATTTTTTATGTTTAATCCAAAAATTCTTATAATCTTAAATTGATTATTTGAAAAAGCACCATTCTTTTAACATTTACATTGCAATTTAATATTTATAGCTTGATGCCAGGCAATTCTTATACAATTTAGTAAATATTTATTAAATCAGACATGTTCTTAAAGACTTATAGTTTTGTAACCACTCTCTAGTGCTAATACTCTTTGAAGCGGAATGTCAGCCTGCAAAAGTCAGTTTCTATATTGCCTCTCCAGTCCTTGTCTGCAGTGATCCTCCTTGACTTCTTTTCACTGCTGAATAGTTAAATAGTTTAAGTTCTTTCAGATCCTTGATATTATCAGGTTATATAACCTCCCACTCCATTCCCATTCATCATCTCTGCAATGTAATATTTGCACATGGATTTTTGACTTTGTATTTGAGATCTGCACAGGTCTTTAAAGCTTTAATTGAACTCACAGCATCTCTCCTCGTGATGCATTTTTAATTTCTCATTTACAGGCAAGTAAATTGAGTTACTGTGAGTTTACAGTCAATATTTTACTGATACCATTTAATTGTAAGTGTTGAGTTTTTAGATGCAGAGCTTGAGGCATATTTACCACGTTGATTGCAGACTCATTCTAACTCTTTTTTGAAGATAAGTTTTGAAGTACTGACTCACAGTGGAAAGCAGACAGTGTACATCTTCTCAGTTTGGAAACCTAAAACTAAGCCATCTAGATCAATGAATTTGATGCAATGCTATAAACAGCTTATCCAGTCACCAACAGTCAGTAATAGAACTTGGGCATCTGCTTCACATTTTCTTGTTCTCCAACCATGCCATTCCTCTCTCCTTAAAGCATCAGTGACAGATTAAGTAAAGATGGACATGTGAGGAGTATGGGGAAGAGAATGTTGAAAACAAAGCAATTCAGAGCATTTTATCCTTTGTAGCCAAGTCAATGGCAGGTGTTCTATGTCCTATTACAGCCTTGATAGTGTGTTATGTTGCATCATTTCAGCATACTTTCTCTCAGACTGGATGACTAAATGTCAGTTTAGATAGCAGTTGTCCTATCCAAATGATCCACAGTTGGATGGCAGCAGGTGAACAGAAGACTGTCCAGTTCAGGAGCCTACCTTATCACTCCATACATGGAAGGCTACAGATAGTCCAGATTTTTTAGTGGAAGGAAGCAGATATAAACTAGGAAATATTTTCCTGTGATTTTACAGTTCTTTTGTGATTGAATATGGGTCTACATGTGATGGAGAAAAGAGCTCTTCAGAATAAATATGAATAGTTCTGATCATCTGTCTTCCCGTTTATTGACACAAAATGGGCAATAGACAAGGTTTTATAAGCAAAAAATGTTTCACTACATTAGGAACCATTTCTTTGCTAAAACACCCATGAAATCAGCCTCTTGACATATTCCCCAGCAAGTTAATCTGATCGTGATTGGGTCTGAGTGAAATGGAAATGAGAAAATTCCAGGAGCATGTGAGCATACAAGCAGATTTTCAACCCATTCTAAACACAGGT